TGCATACTTATTTCTTCTACCCTAAGGATCATCCCTATTGTTTGTTGTGCCTGCCCAACTCCCAGGGGCAGAGCAGCACCCATTTTCTCTTTGTGTGTCTGTGTGTCGCCAACAGGTCGCAATTCTTAATGAATCGTCTTGAAAACTTTTCATACTTATTCCTTATACCTTAAGGATGACCTCTGTTATTTATTTTTTTTTTTTGCATGCTCGACTCCCTGGGACAGAGCCACGCCCATTTTTTTTGTCTGTGTGTAACCTACCTGTCACAATTCTTGACAGATCCTTTTGAAACTAAACTTTGCATACTATTCCTTATACCCTAAGGATGATCCCTATTGTTTTTGGCAAACGCCCAAACCCAAAGGGCGGAGCCACACCCATTTTTATACACCCACATTTTCATGTGGACGTATTATGCCGTCGCCCCTGTCCATCCGGACTCCCGTCTACAATTTGTTTGTGGACACTCCAGAGGTACAATTTTGATCCCATTTTGACAAAACTTGAAATATAGGTCTATCTCCCAACGATGGTTGAGTTTGAAGTTCGTGAAAGTCGGACCTAAACTGCCGGACAAAATGGCCGCCCCTCATACGCATATAGTGTAAATATATGGAATATCAAGGTTTTGATCCAATTTTGATGAAAAACTTAAGATAGGTTTATATCACAAAGATCTTGGTTCGTTTCGATAATTGCGCATATCTAAAGTTACCTTCCTGGATTATGGCCACTGATTATTTCGATAATTGCGCATATTTGAACTTAGCTTCCTGGATTATGGCCACTGATTGTTCGAAAAATTGCATTTTTACCTTGTAGCCCCGCTAGAAGTCACAATTTGTATTCAATTTTAAAAAACGTTTAGGTATTTCACCGTTATACATCAATGGAAGTTGAGTTTGAATTTCTTAAAAATCTGATTAAAACTGCCGGACAAAATGGCTGCTCCTTGTACGCAAATTGTGTAAAAGTATGTAATACCAAGGTTGTGGTTATAATTTTATCTGATTTTGATGAAACTTAAAATATGTTTATATCCCGAAGATCTAGGTTCCTGTAGATATTCACGCATATTGGACCGTAACTTCTTGGATTATGGCCTCTGATTGTACGAAAAATCGCTTCTCTTTTTGGTGCTTGTTCTCTGTCCATCTCTTGCAAAATGTGGGTGTATCTTGCATAGCAATCACTTGTTCACTTACTCGTAATCACAGGAATTTTCAAATGAAAGGGCCGCGAAAACATCCTGGGCCGTGCCCACCAAATTTCTCTGAATTAGAATTGTCCAAAATTCGTTTGGCCATTCCAAGCGTTTGGCCACTTTCTCAAAGTTCAAGAAGAAACTTTTCACATCATGCTCATTGAATTTAGGTACGCACTGATGGGGGCATCTAATACAAACTTTAAGAGTTCTGACCTCTGACTCCCTGGTGGGGATTCATCCTATTCAGGCTTCTATTCTACTAAGTTCACACGACCCAAGACCGTCCAAATAAGATGTGGCTTGGTTGCCTGCGACGAAACTTCGACGTTCAGATGTTCACATATTGCCTTCACATCATCTTTCTAAGTTTTTCCTTAGAAATATTCTCCGCCAGTACAGTAGTCTGCATATTAGTTATGTGTTAACATTATTATAGACACTTGCGTCGAGTAAATCGTGTCATGTAACTTCCGCGCCTGTGCAGTATTTATATATATACGAGCGCCATGTTTTGATTGTGATCTTATGTTTTGGTCTGTCATTAAACCTGTTTTATAACAAGCCTGTGTTACACATATTCACTCCTTTCCTGACGTGGTGGCATCAGCTGGGGATGTTTTCAAACCGATTGGCGCCTCAAAAGCTCGAAGTAAACCAATTAAAGTAAGTTTGTCGTTGTGTGTTTCTACAAGTCACGTAGACAGTGGACTTCATTTCTACAGTGATTAGTTAAACAGACGCTGAACAGAATGGCCAACACCCAAAACAATGGTCGTTAACCGAACGTGAAACTTTACCATCGTTCGAATCATGGCAGGCGTATATTTTATATGTTTTGACAATTTCACAGAATTTTTAACAGATGGTGCTACATGGACAAAGAAATCATCTGCAAATCCAAATCGGGGGTTCACTAGCGACAACAATCGAGTTCCCGAAGACTTAGGCCGTACCGCTCAACAAAAAGTCTAAATGTTAGAGCTTATGCTCGGTCAAATATAACGAATTACGCTCCTATAATCTCAACAAATACCATCATTAAAAACTCTATTTTTTTTAGCTTTTCACAGTCTTTAAGATTACATTATGGGTTTCAAACCACCGGTGCATATTTTCTACATTTTACAGAAATAAAACCTAAGCCCGTGGAAAGACCTGAAACTTTATTTCAACGGATTATGTCATTTGTTGAGGACATCCTGCTCAAACAAGGCAGTGGACTCACCCATCATGGAGACCCCATTCTTACTGATGAAGATATGTCACCGACACTCGAAAAGCTCATCGTACTTTTCTGGCTTCGTCTTCTGTACGAGGAACTACCACGTCTTGTACGTCAGCGTTATGACACAGAACTCCGCCAGAGAACACTTGCGTCGATCAAGCCCGAGATAGCTCAAGCTTTGCCTTCACTTTTGGACGAACTAGTCACATCAGAGGAAGTCCGGATTATGAGATCAGCACAGACCCCCTTATCAAAGTGACAATAAACCCATTCAACCATATCCTAGGCGATAACCTTCCAAGTCACGGGTAAAAATGTGTCCCCAGTGTCGACAATCCGGTAGACCAGAGTTTCAACACTACCTTAGCCAATGTCCATACTTACCCGACAATGACCGCCTTTTTCTAACCAAGGCAAGGCATATCATGTCCCATCAGTTTCCAAACTTGGATGATCCAGAATTTAACCCAAGCTACCAGCTAGACGACATTAAAGACGACCCCAGCGTTAATACAGATCAAGACGCGTTGCTCCACGACAATCATCATACCTCAATGCCTTTTTAACCAGTTTCATCTACGCCAAACCATCGATTCTGGTGCAGAAACCAAAAATGAAATGAAATGAAATGGGGTTTAACGTCCTACTGTTTTGCTCCTAAACTGGGCTAATGAAGATGGGCATACGCCATTCAGTGTGCTATGAGGGAAATTTTGCCCGGGCAGCGGCGCTACGGCCTACTCTTTTATCGAATTCCAACTGCGAAGGGATATTTTACGTGCACGCCAATTTGTACACGGGACCCCGGTTTTTCGTCCCATCCGAACGACTAGTCAGCTGTTCTTGTTAGGCCCTCCGGGGCAGAAACATCATTAGATCTTCTGTTGCTCATTAGCCCAGACGGGGCAGCACAGTGGGACATTAACCCCCATTTCATTTCATTTCGTTTTATGAAACGAAATCGCTAATGTATACTTATTCTCCGAGAGACAGTCACTTCGTGAATTAAAAGGATACCCTTCGTTCCGCACTCATACAGTTATGCATACCTCTCGACGCCGTCATAAGTATCCGAGTTGATCCTGCGCCAGCCTTTAAGGGTCTTCTTGACGACCAACTCCTTCGGCAATATGGCATCAAATTACATATTGGCAGACACAAGAATATCAACAAAAACCCAGTGACTGAGCATGCAATTTTTTTTAACTTACTGAAGAATTACCTCGGTTTAACCTAGGCGGTGGATTTATTACTCCTTTAACTCTTGCCATCACTACCGCTAGGATGAATTCCAGAATACGCAGTTGAGGACTTTCCGCGCGAGAAATGTGGACACAATATGATAGTTTTCAAACGACCAGATACATATGTCCGATGTAAATCTTATCCAGGACCAGCATAACCAGCGTCTTACTAATCACAACAGTGGAAGGACTAAAGCCCTTGGCCAACAAAATCCTTCTTCTCCACCCGTCGAAACGGGCGACATTGTATATATAACTTGTGATGGTAAAAAAAACCCTCGCTGCTCGTGTTAGATATATCGTCATTTCAACCGGCGTAAATTGGTGTACTGAGAGTGACCGTGTTCCCGACCCAACACTCAGGGTCGGGGTATGATCTAGAACCAGAGGACCACAGACAAATCTACACAACCACCGATTTAATAATATATAATAATTTAATAATATTATTAATAATAAAATGATATTAGAAAAAAATGAGTACAAGTTCGAATATAAGAACTACAAATAATAAAATAATATTAGGACAAATGAGTATAAGTATAAATATAACAACTTTGATCAAAAACAATGTACAAGATTACTCACAGTATTCGGTTGACGTCTTCTTCGCTCTCGGCTTTGAAGTAATAATTTGTAGACAGTGCTGTACATATGTCTTCTCGGCGTTGCAGTAGTAATTCCAAAGTTGGTATATTTCGACGTGTTAGTCATCCACAACAATAATTCTAAACTAAGATTACAACAAAGAGATAATTTCTCTTAAAATAGCACAAAGTAAAACAAGGAGATAATTTCTCTTAAAACAGCACAATAAGTGCAACAGCACGAAATGGCAGTAAATCGAAGTATGAAGAGCTATGAAAGTCCTGCTACAGATGTCCAAATGTCGGGCCCGGCTTATAAAGTTTTAGAAGATTCTTAGGACCTTTTGGACCATTCTCGAATTTTTCACAACTCTCCAGAACCTTCCAACTTGTTCTAGAACCCTCCAGAACCTTCTAATTATTTCTAAACACTGTTTCCACAAGTTTCCATGGTTTCTAGAAGTTTCCATAGTTACAAAAGTTTTAAAGGATGATTCCAGACATTTTGATTGCACAAAATACTACATCTATTTTGTAAATTGAAAAATAAGTTCTGAATTATTTTTACTTTCTTTTTCTGTTTATAGACATTGTACATATGTCATTTTATTTCTTAAGTCTTAAAAACAATAGATTTCGGTAAACTATCATAACCTCATCACAGTTCCGGACAGAGGGTGGGAGGGGGTCCTTCTGGGCGCGAGAAAATGTTAATGTCGGCGTAAACCTGACATTCAACCGAAGAGGATCACAGACAGTATCACGAGTGAACTGTCCAGTCGATAACAACACAAACGCGACCCACGCCTCAGGTAAATGAAACCGCTAAGTTGAAAACTACTGCAGTCAGTTCAAGGTATTGCCCCACTAATTCTTTCGTGCTTTACGAAGCAATAAGTAAACTTTAATTACCTTTCTATACCCAGCCATCTACGATTCCAAACGTATAGAATATCACTTTCTTATTGTTCATTTCAGGTGAATTTGTGTTTTCTATGCAATATCTTACGAGTTCTTGTAACACAGATACAAACACATCCAAATGAACCTAGTAATTTCAGGTAATTTTTATTTTTAAAACAGTTACATACTTTTGAATTTTGTTGATCTGATGTGCTATTTGGAATAGTGATTTCACAAAAATATATGATTAAATATGGTCAAAACATTAATTGAACCTAGTGCGATTGCTTACAATTACAGTTGTTTTTTCGTGTGTTGGTGGAGGGGGGGGGGCTGTCACTGATGGTAATGGAACACAAAATCGGTTATATTTCAACAGTGGTTCTAGTTATGTGTGGTGCTGCCTCTTTAAGAAGATGGCTGCCCTGGGATTTATATGTATTACAATCACTTGTCCGTGTGTGTAAAATGTATTATATTTCTGTATTTTATTTTAAAATTGTGTTTGTAAAACATCACTGAGCAACACTTGTGTTGGATATTCGACGCTATATAAATGATAAATTATTATTATCTAATCTGGTTTTTACCTGCACGGTCTCCAGCTTGTCAGGAAATATTATCTGATAAAAATATGGGTCTGATTGTTCAAACAGTAAACTAGGAAAATGTGACAAAATTAGGCCTTTATTCGTTCCGGATTTTAACTATTTTAGTGGTCTACACTGCATATAGATCTAAGAATATCTTATTACGAGAAACCTGATTTTAAACACATTAGTGAATCAAGAAGTACATTAATCACACGAACATTGGAATTTCTATATTGTGTTTATGACCTATACCGGACTTTGTTAAAAAAATTTCAGACGAGCTTTAAAAGCAACGTTTGTGTTGATACCCTTATTTGGTGTACAGTTATTTGTAACAGTGTATAGAGTTCCAGCCGGAAATGTGGCGGCTGCAGGATATGAAAAGTTCACAACATTCGTCATAAATTCACAGGTTTGTTAATCAAAATAAATTTGAGTAAATTTGGAAATTGAATATAGTACATATAGTATGGTAAACGAATTTTCAGAAATGTATCTCACGACAATACCCTCACTTGATAGCGTCGATGACTGTCACTAATTTTTTTGATTAAAATAGAAACGTAGGTGGACTCGGCGGGTAAAATGCAATGGAAAAGAAAATACCTTTCAAAAATAGCTAAAGTGAGGATAGTCTGGCTTACAATAATTACGGACTGTTGTTTTTGAGCACCCCCGTGATCAATTATCAGCTGTAAAATGCTAACATGATATCTGCCATTTCATTGTAGCTAATCATTTGACGTTTCGGGTACAGTCGCCTCTTTATGTCACTACCTTGTTGTGTCTAGTGCATTTTTTTGCCCGAAGGGCTTTTTTCGTAAAAAAAATTGTATTGGAGTCCATTCATTCCGAAATTATTTTTTTATTTTTCAAGCATTTATAAGTGTGATTATTTTCAGGGTTTTTTCGTGGCTTTAATTTTCTGTTTCTTCAATGGAGAGGTAAGTTACATGAGTCTGGAATGGACAATCAGATTTTATATATATTTAATGATATTGTATTTTTATCTTAGAAATATAATTTCAATCTTGTAAAACAGTGTATTAATTTTATAAAAATGGATGGTCGTCTGTCTTAGGTTACCGTTGTCAGACTATGTCTGACCGGTGACCGTTAATTCTTTCCCGAAATGCATTTTGGGTCTCTCCTACGTACTGTTTGTCACATTGTCTACATGAAATTAGACAAGCCAACAGTGAGGCTGATGTCCCCCGCCGAAATCCCAAAATAAATAGATGACACATATTAATTAATCGCACATTTATTTTTTTCAAAAGTATCGAGCAATCAAACTATACACTATGTTTCATCACTCTCTATCAGATAGAATCAAGATTATCTTGTCCCAAAGCATCTACCAATGAAATTGATTAGCTCTGCTTAGCTTTAGCTTGAAATGTTAATCATTGAAATCAGTCAAGACATTCACCTAGTGAACATCTACATCAGGTTTAAACATTCTACCTCAACTAAAAGCAGAGTTTTTATGTTCCAAAGTCTTGACCAATCAAATTGCTTATCGCTCCTTAGCCAAGGCAGAGAATTCGCACAATCGAACTTAGTCAAGGTAATGATATAATGAATTTATATTCAGAGTTTCATCGCTCTCACTTCATTATAACCAAAGTCATCTTGCCCCTAAAGCATCAACCAAACATATTGCTTATCTCTGCCTGCCGTAAGCAGACAATGTTCATCATCGAACTCCATCAAGGGATTCACCTAATGAATGCCTACACCAAGTTTCAACATTCTACCTCAATTAGAAGGAGAGTTATTGTGTTCTAAAGTCTCGACCAATCAAATTGTTTATCGCTCTGCTTACCCTCAGCAGAAAATGCTCAGTATCGAACTTAATCAAGGTACTGATGTAATGAAACTATACACCAAGTTTCATCACTCTCACTTAATTAGAACTAAAGTTATCGTGTCCCAAAGCATCCACCAATCAAATTGCTTATCTCCGCTTAACCTAAGCGGAAAATGTCCATCTTCGAACTCCATCAAGGTATTGACCTAATAAACACCTACACCAAGTTTGAACATTCTAGCTCAATTCGAAAGAGAGTTATTGTGTCCCAAAAAAGTGTGACGGACAGACAGGCGGACGGACAGACAGACAGACAGACGGACGAGCCCATTTTAATAGTCCCCTGGTTTCTTCGAAAGGCGGGGAACAATAAATTATGTTTGAACTACTGCATGAAAGTTGGTCTAATATTGGGAATTGTGTGCCAGATGTCTTGTTATGGAAATGGTCGGATATGTTTATGATTTTGCATGTTTGACATATTGGGTGGCCTCAAGTGTTGTTTTTTATACGTCGGAGATAGCGTTTGGAGTATCACCTTCCTCTCAGTTTGCTAAATACCAGGGTAGGTGCTGACTCAAAGTCGGTCTTCTGAGTACATATCCTATGAAGACGGAGAATCTGAGATTTTATGATGCCAGAGAACATAATATGTTTTGGGTGAAAGGGGCTTTTGAACAATAATTGATGTGCATCGGTTTCCTTGAAAAATACTTTAGTTTCCAATTGGCCTGTGTTTTTGGTGTTGCTACTTTTAAAAACGGTAGTGTCAAGGAAATCTATGCTGTTATGACTTACATTTGCGGTTAATTTGACAGGTGGATTATGATTGTTCAGAATGTTGAAATGTTGGCAATGTTTGTAACACAATATCAAATTCTAAGAAAGTCACTGTCAAATGGCTTTTTATGTGACTTTAACTTAATAAGAACAGCCCCCCCCCCCCTTTAAATAACGCGGTTTCACAAAACAAGACCCTAAAATGTGCCGTGGCCACGATCCCATCGCACTTTAATACGTCCAATTCAAAGACACCTTTATTTTACAGGCCTGACAATTTAAACCTACTGTAATTATTGAATTCCGTCCTGTTTGTAATATTCGTATTACATGGAAATCGTATTCATAAATATAAACTTATATAAATACAAGATATTTCTATGCACCCGATAATTTCAAAAGATAGGTTGTCAGGCAACGAAGCATACGCCCACAGCAGCTAAATCGTCCGATTGGCTCGACAAGGGTTTCGCATATTTATTCTTTTGTAGGTAATTAGGGGCATTTACAAGACAATTTCATACAGTTCAGAATATAGTTTTTGTGGTTTGAGGGTTCACAAGGTTCTTTAAACTGAAACAAGGGCCTTAAATCTTGAAGTAATTTACAGAAAATTTTGAAATTTGACAGGCTTTTTCGTTTTACTAATAATATGCATATAAATGTCATACAGATTGGATGATAACTTTTGTCATTCGAACGTTCATTGACGGAAATTGCTAAAATTCAACAGACCTCCGTTTTACAAATTTAAATGAAGCATATAAATTTCATACATATCAGATAATAACTTTCAACAATTTAGCATTAACAAGGTTGAACAAAGTGAAACAAGGGCCATAACTCTAGAAGTAATTGTTGGAAATTGCTGAAATTCAATAGGCTTCGTGGGGTTTTTAACTAATCAAAATGAGCCATATAAATTTTATACAGATCGGATAATAACAAGGTGCAACAAAGTGAAACAAGGGCCATAACTCTATAAGTAATTAACTGAAATTGCTGAAATTCAATAGGCTTCTTCGTTTCACAAAGATCGGATGATAAATTTTGGCGTTAGAGCGTTCGCAAGGTTCAATAAAGTGAAACAAGGACCACAACTCTAGATGTAATTAACGGAAATTGCTGAAATTCAATAGGATTCTTCTTTTTACTAATTTAAATAACGCATATAAATTTCATACAGATCGGCAGATAGCTTTTGATGTTAGAGCGTTCACAAGGTGCAACAAAGTAATTAACAGAAATTATTGAAATTAAATAGGATTCTTTATCTCACTAATGTAAACAACATATTATATTGGCATTATTTAGCGTTTATTTAATTTGAATGAAATATAAAGCGGTTTTATTTCTTTTTAATTTATGCTGGTTTATTTTTTATACTTTTATAATTGGGTAATTACAATCACTATTTTCAATGTCATATTAGATACAAAGAACAGATATTCATTGTCATATTTGGCACTTCAAGGAAGGTTTGATGAAAACTGCCGCGTGCTGGTTTATCTATCCATGTTAGTATTCCTATAGGTTCTTGCATAAGATTTACTATTTAGCGTATCTTTGCTTTAGTGTGTTACGTTTATTTTCATCGGAAGACGTGTTCGTCGACGTCAACGTCAACCGACAATACTGCAAGAATTGGCCGTGACACTGCAAGGGGGGTGGGTCAGATTGCCCCAAATCATGATTGGACGGTTGATTAGGAGCATGCCACGACGAATTGCTGAATGTTTGAGGATTGGTGGAGCAATTACTCATTATTAAGACAAAAATCAAAAACGCCCATTTTCACTTTTGACGGTGTATCTCTTTGCGAGTGAAATGGGGCCGTCAGATAAGCCACCCATATGAACTGTTTATTATGTTCATGTGTACGGAAGTGGCCTGTTATTAACATACACTGGTTACCTCTAATAAAAACAGCAGTGCATTTCCGCAGTTTTGTATTGTTTCTGAATATCCCCTACTTTTTTTTAAGAGTATATATAAGCGGAATTGACTAAATTTATACAAGAAATAACCCGAACAAGGTCTCCATCATCCTGGCACGGGCAAGGATTAGGTTTACGAGTTTGGGGGAGAAGTTTTAGTCTCCACATTCGCACTGACCTAAGATGATGGAAATTTAGTTCGTGATATTTCCTATATAGTTTTATACATTTAATTGAGACACAAAGCTGGCTTGTGGCGCTGGTCTTTGTTTTTGGCGGCGATGGTCTTCTGGTATTTTTGTTTCTGAAGAAAAAATAAAATTAAATTGAGTGCTTGTTATAACCTATTTCCCAAGACTTTCAAGTGTTATTAGCCAATTAGGCTCATATTATATTACTAATTCCATATCTGGTAAATAACGAACAACAAACTAGCTCGTTGTTCGTTATTCGCGAATACCAAATTCCAGCTCTGAACTTTTCCCATGAGTACCAAGGTGCCCTGAAAATTTCAAGGCGATACCTCCATTCCTTCAAGGCGTTTGTTCTTGGCATGACCTGTCAGAATCGCAAAAAAGGGTTCAGACGGCATTTTGATGGGACGCCGAAAGTCTTTTAACACCGACACCATTACCGTTGTTTACAGAACCTTGAAATTTAGAGTGAATATGTATAATAACATCTTACGGTACATATTGCAATCCCATCTGATTCCGATTCCAAGAAATGATTTCTGGGCAAAAAAGGGGTTGGGTTTTTTTTTGCATAAAAATGCGTTTTTTAATTTGTTTTAAATTGTTCCTGCAACCCAAATGTGTCGCATCTTCCATGCGGGATAGGTATTAGTATTATACGCATCCTGGCAAAATTTTAAATTTTTTGGACTACGGGAACAGTGTCCGTTTTTCAAAAAAATAAAACTGCAAAAATCGCCAAAAATCTTAAAGGGGGTGCACAATATTCATATCTATCACATATTAAAAGCAGAAATCTGCGAACTCGAGAACAATAATAATTCGATAAAATACGCCCATAGAAAACTGTTTTTGAGAGGTGACAGTGGTTTTCGACCAATCTACCCTGAATAGCACCCTGTTCTCCTTTTAATACGTGATAAATTTCAAGGTCCTACGACCACGGGGGCGATGCATGTGTAGTCCAAAAAACACTTTTTCGGTCAAAAACCGGCTTTCTATGGGTGCAATTTTGGTTGCAATCCATCTTAGGTCGGCCATTGTGAATCCAGGCTTTTGTCTAATTAATTTCAGTTTTTCTTCAAATAAAGCAATACAATACCCAATTTTCTTGATTTTCTTTTTATTGCAATAGTGTCCTGGATTTTAAAGTTTGTATTAAAATTAGAACTCTGTAGAGTTTGGAATTAATCAAATATAAGCAACAATTTTGATTTCTTAAACTGAAGTCTCCTTAGACATTCGTGCACTATTAATGAAATTCCATTTAGAAAAATACTTAAAGCGGAAATTGCAAATTTTCTAAGAAAGTCAAAACGTAATTATTTCTATGTCTTTTGCTCAATAGGTTGTCAACTCACAATTATACGATCATAGGTGTCATTCTCACACTTAAGATTCATTTACACAGGAAATAATGACACAATTACCTCCCTTGTTTTCTATTCTCCACCATGGAGTAGCGATATTCAAACGTTTGAAAATGAAGAAGAAAATGATATTTTTGCCAATTTCTCAGCTGGCAATAGTGAATTATAGGATTAATAGGATTATTCTTTAACAAGGTAGGACTGTGTATGGATACCATCTATTTTCAGGCTTTATTTTAATAAATTTTAAAAATATAACTTTAAAACTTGCAATTTCCGCTTTAAAATTATGGAAAAGAACAGAATTGGATAATCAACGCGGTGAATAAATGCTTATACAGAACTACATATCAAAGACTGATTAATACGTACATTAAAAATGATAAAAAAGAAAATTCCGAGTTTTTAAATTCCGAGTTTTCGTTTTTACACTATTTTTTAAAACGAAAAGTCGGATTTCTCGGAATTATTTGTGCCGAAAACTCGGATTTTTTCCGAGTTTTTGACAAAACATTGAGTCAAAACCTAAATTCCGAGTTTCTCGAGACTTCCGAGTTTTCGATATGTCCTATTTATTTTCTTTATGTTACATGGACTAAATGTTGCCTTTAAGTTTGTGTCGGACGTGCTAACGTGTGATCAAATCAGTTTTATTTTATTTTCGCCATATTGAGAAACTAAGTATGGCCTTTCTAAAGATGACAAACGGGATGTCTAGCAGTGGTCCTGATTCGTTTGGATTACTAGATACTCTGTGTGTACAAGTATAACGTGTGCTATATGAACTTGAATGTCCATACAATTTATATAATCAGAGAAACTAATTTCGGTACGTTTCTTTTCTTCGGAGAATGCCATAGGATTTAGTCTTTAGCTCAACTTAATATTTCATAATTCAGCATTTTCGGTTTCAGGTATCTACATACATCAGAAGAACATGTACAAGATGGCAACTGTTGAGACCAGGAATAACCATGCCAAAGGTGCACACAACAGCAACCAGTTGTAACATGAGTCAGCGCGGTGAGGAATCAAGGGAAATCAAGAACGGTAACCCCCTTATAGACGACCCGCGTGACCTCAATCTACCGTTACGTACACAGAAAATAGAAATGTACGAAAAGAAATACGGTTATCTACCTTTAAATGATGATAATCAGACAATGGTGGCACAGATGTAGGCTAACAATATGCGGTTGTTGTAATGAACTGTTCAGTTCATTCCGCCAATTTTGTCTGCGTTATTACAACAAACGACGGAGGTGTTCGATTAAAGAAGCAGAAGGTAGAGTAATAAATGGATTACCTACTATGAGGACGTAAACTGTGGATATACGTGATGGAGTTCTTACATATTATTTTTATACGCCCACATTTTCATGTGGACTTATATTGTCGTCGCCCCTGTCCGTCCGGACGTCCGTCCGTCCGTCCGTCCACAATTGTTTGTGGACACTCTACAGGTCACAATTTTTATCCGATTTCAACTTCCTCGTTCGCAAATAGCGTAAAAATATGGTATATCAAGGTTGTGGACCCTCTAGAGGTCACAATTTTCTTCTGATTTTGATGAAACTTAAAATATAAGTCTATAACCCAAAGATCTCGGTTCCTGTCGATATTGGTGCATATTGTACGAAAAATCGCGTTCTTGTGGACCCTATAGCGGTCATAATTTTTATCCGATTTAAAAAAACCGTTTGAATATATCACCGTTACACCCTAAGGATGGTTGAGTATGAATTTCGTAAAAATCGGACCAAAACTGACCGACAAAATGGCCTCCCCTCGTACTCAAATAGCGTAAAAATATGGTATATCAATGTTGTGGTTCCTCTAGAGGTCACAATTTTCTTCTGATTTGATGAAACTTGAAATGTAAGTGTATAACCCATAGATTTCGTTCCTTTCGATATTCGCGCATATCGGATAGTAACTTCCTGAATTATGGACCTTGATTGTACGAAAAATTGCGTTTTTACCTTGAGGCCCCTCTAGATGTCACAATTATTATCCGATTTAAAATAACGTTCAAATATATCACTGTTACACCGTAATTTTGGTTGAGTTCGAATTTTGTGAAAATCGGGCCAAAACTGCCAGACAAAATGGCCGCCCCACGTACGCAAATAGTGTATAGCATCTGGTATATCAAGCTTGTGGACCCTCTAGCGGTCACAATTTTGACCTGATTTTGATGAGAGTTGAAATACATGTTTATAACCCAAAGATCTTGGTTCCTTTCGATATTCGCGGGTATCGGATCTTAACTTCCTGAATTATGGCCCATGAATATACAAAAAATCAGGTTTTTAGCTTGCCGTACATGTAGAGGTCACAATTTTTATCCGATTTAAAAAAAACGTGTGAATGTACCACCATTACACACTAAGATCTTGGTTCCGTTTGATAATCGCGTATATCCGAACGTAACTTCCTGGATAATGGCTCCTGATTGTTCGAAAAATCGCATTTTTAGCTTGCGATTTTAAAAACCGTTTAAATATTTCACCATTCCACTATAACAAAGGTTGAATTCGAATTTCGGGAAAATCGAAATGAAACTGCACGACAAAATGGCCGCTCTTTGTACGCAAATTGGGTAATGGTATGAATTACGAAGGTTGTGGACCCCCTAGAGGTCACAATTTTTATCATATTCTCATTTCTGATGAAACTTAAAACATATCTTTATATCCCAAAGATCTAAGTCCCTTTTGATATTTGCGCATTTCAGACCATAACTTTTGGATCATTGCCCCTGATTGTACAAAAAAATCCCATTTGTTTTTTCCATCTCTTGCACAATGTGGGCGTATCCTGCCTGGCAGCCGCTGGTTTGTCAAAGTTACGAATCTCTGTGTTGCGCTATGACGTTTTGGATGATAGAATTGTCTCCCTTATAATCAATTCTTGTTTCGTGAAAGTGTTCAGTTTTAATTACATGGCTTTATTGCTAGCGACGTGAAGTTAGCTTGTTGTTAGGTATTCGCGAATAACGAACAACGAGCCAGTTTGTTGTTAGTTATTCGCGAATACCGAACAATAAACTGGCTCGTTGTTCGTTATTCGCGAATACCAAACAACGAACCACAAGATAACTTCACGTCGCTCTTCATTGCTTGGCTCTTTGACATATTGCATTACCACCATATCCCGCAATTCTGTAACATTATTTAAGACTTTGTCGTGATAAATTTGTTCTTTTTTTTGGTCAATTGCTTCGTATGGTTGTCACTATGCCGCTACCATCTACGATTTATATACCTATGTCCCAATGTAAGTTTTACAAGGGACAACCTTGTGGAGAAAATCTGATTAAACTTGAATTGAATATGGAATGTTCCTTTAAATGTAGATCTTGATGGAAATTCGGGATGTTGATGTTGAATGTTGTTGAGTTTTGTATTAGGACGACGGGAACAAAGGCATTTCTAATCAAGCATTAAATTGTATTGTGAACTTTTGGGATCCAGGAATAGCCTGGTACCATTTATAGCTAAACAAATAAATTTGCACATATTGGATGTTATGAATCTTGGGCACACGACGTGGTTACATCGTGTGACAAACAGACCATAATGTTCGTTGCCAGGTAACTAATTTGCTTTTTTTTTTATATCATCCGGTGCCAACTGTAGATGTTAAGTTGTATGAACTATTTTTGCTGTAAATGAGAAAGACTGACTGCGTACAATACATATTGGAATAAAATGCAACATTAATTATTGTGCTCAAGGTCATAAAAAGAAAGAGCAATGCTGGTGGATTGGATGAAATTATTTTTACAAAATTTGTAAATAGAAAAGCTTAATTTATTTATTTGTTGTTGTTTTTAAAAATAACATAAAAATTGTTGTTATTTATTGCTATGACCACACTAAGAGTTATTTCCATTTTAAGGATTTTTTACACGTGGTGGATATTTGAAATGAAATTTGCATTTTTACTGAAATTTATGTAACTATTTGTTGTGACTCTATTTTATCTCTTTTTCAATTGTTTGTATACACCAACATTTTCATGTGTACATTTATGCCGTCGCCCCTATCCACCCGGAAGTCTGGGCATCCTTACAGGTCACAAATTTAATCAGCTTCTGGATTATTGCGCCCGATTGTACAAAAATCGCGTACATAGCTTGTGGACCCACTATAGGTCACACATTTTATTCGATTTTGATTAACGTTGAAATGTATGTTTATTACACAACAATCGCGGATGAGTTCAATTTTTCTGGAAATCGAACCGTAACTTCCCGTTAAAATTGACCTTTACGCAAATAATGGTAAAGCATGTAATATATAAACCAAGGTTGTGGACCCTCCACAGAGGTCACAATTTTTGAATGATTTAGGCTAAAATTAAATATGGATTAAAGATCAAATTATCTTGGATGAGTTAGATGATTTTAGTGCGCATCGGACTTCAACTGCGTAGGGTCCAGAGTGTCACTTTTCCAAGCGATAGAGGCTGCAGCTGTTAACGAATATTTTTCACATTGGATGTGAGGCACTGGGACAATGAGAGGATGAGCGCTATCGATTTTCTCTGTTCACCGTCCCATCTCTTGCAAAAAATGTGGACACATCTTGCATTGTCACTGCTTGTTATATTCATGTTCGTAATACTACGAAAAGTTAAAGCTCAGAGAGTTTAGAGAAAATGTGATTTATATTATCAATCCCCAGTCCAATATACAAAATATTTCTTCATTTTCGAAAATCTTTCACTGGCTTGCTTAAAGCAAATGTATTTTGTACGGGCGTTTGGTTTACTCCATGATAACGCTACCAATGTTGAACATAAAATGGATTGACGTATTTAGAGTTAAATTTTCCAGATTTTTGAACAGGTCACCTGTATTTTAGCCTAGGTGTAATAAAAAGCACTTGACAATTTTGGACTTTTAATCCACTGACACACAAAATAAGTTTATAATTACGCATTGTCAAATAAATAAAATAAACTTTGCTTTAATTGTAAGTTTTATAATATCATAAAATAATAATATTATTTAGCGTCTGGATAGCAAAGGTGTGCTCATGGACGTATGTATCAATGCCTCGTAAATATATGTAAGTGCATGTTTTTTAAACTCTCCCTAAAAGAGGATTTTAGCGCGAAGATAAGAAATTTCGTGTGATTATAAAGTAGTTACCTCCCTTCAATTAGGTGACGTTAAAATCTGATATAGACCCGTCAATTTCTGAAAAAAAGAGGATCAAGGTCAACCCCTAAAACAAATTGCAGGAAAGATTTTTTTTTGACGGTTTCTGAAAGTGTTTGGTGTACTGAGGAACATCCCAAAAGTTTACCAAAATTGGAGTACTGGAATGTCCCAAATTTGAGGGTAAAGTTCAGGTTTTTAAGCCGTTTTCCTTTACATTTTCAGACAAGCGTCAATTTTTAAGTGAAACACATGAAACTGGCGCCTTGCTTTGGGTTCATAAATGTCCGATGCTCTCTTAAACCATTTTCGGGGATATCATTACACCAGAAACATGCTGCCCAGAACCCAACTTTACGAAAGGGCATAGCCCTGCACTGTTTTATCATAAAATAGTAATTCTGGTCACTAAATTAATGTTTTTGGGGTCATTCTTTCATTTGAAGATATACCCAGTGGGGTTAACTGGTCCCTTATACCCTAACCCCCACAACCTGCGACCAAGAACCTATATTTACGAATAGGCTTAATTTTGGTATCTGAACTAAGGTTTTGGGGGTCAATAGTTTATTTGAAGATATACTCAGGGTGATATCTTATGCCATTTTCGGGCTATTCACTGCACTTCTTCATCACTTACTGGCATATTTGGTACGTACATGCCTTTTAGTCCCTATCCCCTATAACCTGATGTTGTTGGGAGATGAGTAGGCTAAAGCAAGACAAGCAAATAGATGTGTAAGAAATTATTTAGAAATTTGTTCTTCATAGAATGAAGCGTGCTGTCATCTAATTGATTTCTAAAACACTTGGAGTTGCTTTTCATTTAGTTTCTATCATTCAGACAAATATTCTACAAATATTAGTCTGGATGGGTTGTCAACAATTGAGAATAACAGGTCATTGGCTAAATTATCCGGTCTTTTACATTATCGTGAACAAAGTCTAAGGGAGGTAACTAGCCCTAAAACAAGATGTCGTCGCCCATGAAATTAATTTAAGAATTGCCATTTCAGAAAATCCTTTTGCTTGCCACTTCAATATCCAACATTCTTAATATATATAATTGAAATTAAAGATGGCAAAATAAAACTACATTTTTATGCTACTGTGTGAACCATCGTAAATTTTAAACGCATTTCTTCGATTATGAACAAACTACTTAACTTTCGTTATTATAAACTTACCTGTGTGTTTGAAATCAATTCCCGTCTAATAAAATCCATTGCACAACTAAATATTCCAACGTATAAAAAAGTTCTCTCTTGACGAATTTGACTATTTACTTGTATTTTCGACTGAGTAGACGACAACAATGATTTCGTTACGTGTTGGACGACCCCATTGCAGCTGTTGAGGGGGTGGTTTAATTTTGACAGATAGTTTGATAACCACGTGTTGCAATGAAAACAAAGCGCGATCATTACGATCGTTTGCATCTATATACACGGTCCATGTTGAAACCATTGATCGCCAGTCTATCAAATTTTATTCACAATGAAAATATCACTGATACTCGTAAAAAATAAAGTTATATATAAACTAAAAATATGTTACTAATTTATCATATTAAAGATAATCATGGGTAATATTTAAGGCCCGTAAAACAAATGTGATTGTTGTTGTGCAGCATGTGTGTTCAAAAGAAAATTATCTCATCCGAGTAGCTTATCAAATAATTAAAACAAAATATTTCAAAAGATGTACAGTTATAAAATTTGCAGAGATTTTACTAGAATGTAAAAGACGGCAACAAAATAAAAGAATATGGACAGTTATGTGTGTGAACGCCCAAACTCAATGCCGAGCCGAGATATTTACTGTAGCTTTTTCTTAAACCAAACTTGAATTGTCGTAAAAGTGCCGATTTGCTATGCTGTCACCCCTTACACGAATGATATCTCCCGGAAAGTGACGTAATCAGCTTCCATATTGGTATTTTTCTGTGTCAAAGTTTGTGGGAATTAAATTTTTCAAGAGAGAATTTTTTTATTCGTTGGGATAATTAGTTGTGCAGTGGATTTTATTTAACGGGAGTCGATTTTAAACACAGAGGTAAGTTTATAATAACGAAAGTTTAGTAGTTTGTTCATAATCGAAGAAATGGGTTTTAAATTTACGATGGTTCACACAGTAACGTTTTCACCGCGATAGCGGCTCTTCAGACATTTATTAAACAATAATTCAATTAACAATAGTCTATGACGTCACAATGTCATAGTTACATTATTAGGCAAGGGTAGTTATTTTTTAGCCTACAGACTATACAAATATTCAATTCCACCACGGTCTTTATTTTATTTAATTTAATTTAATTTAATTTATATTACCAAAGAGCAGCTTTAATTAACTATTCCACTATATATACATCAATAGATGTATGAAGTTAAAACCGTAGTAGTGTTAATATAGAAAAAAAATAAAGGTTAAAAATGCCTTAAGAAAGTATATACTATTGTTTAATTGTCTACATGTTTCGCCTGAGCTTGTATGTCTTGACAAGCTCAGGCGAAACATGTAGACAATTAAACAATAGTATATACTTGTTTAGGCATTTTTAATCTTTATTTTATATATATATATATATATATATATATATATATATTAGAATAGTTAATTAAAGCTGCTCTTTGGTAATATATAATTGAAATTAAAGATGGCAAAATAAAACTACATTTTTATGCGAACGTTTTCACCGCGATAACGGCTCTTCGGGCATTTATTTGTTTAATAAATGCCTGAAGAGCCGCTATCGCGGTGAAAACGTTAGCATAAAAATGTAGTTTTATTT